GGGCAGGGGCGACCTGCGAGCCGGCCGCAGTCGCCGAGCTCCGGGGCAGAGGTTAAAGGAGAAGTTAGCGCCGTGGTGATGGGCGACGGTATTTATTTATTTTGGAAGGAAGGCTGTAATTAACCCTAAATAACAGCCCTTGCAGAGTGCAGGGGGGAGCCTGCTGGCCCCATCAAAGCGGGCAGAGCAGGGAGTGACTGAGTGATGTGAAGTCGCAGATACTGAAACTATGTGCCTGATAATGATATAATTAGGGGATCACAGACTTCTGGCTGCTGTTGACTTCAAAAGCTTTAAGAGAAGCCTGCAGTCTCTCCTGTAGCCATCTTGACTAAAAGCAGACATTTTTCTTTAATAGCTACATACAGTAACAAGAAAGAGGAGGGAACAGAAGGGCATTGTTCACTGTTTCAAAATACTAAATACCCTTTCTGGCCTTTTGCATAGCACAGGAAGAAACTTTATGAATTGACAGAAATACAGTTCTAATACAGTAATACAAAGTCCATTCTGTTTCACCGAAAACGTGGCTTTAATTAAAAAGCAGTTGAATTAACCTGACGACTAGCCTGTCACATTTTGTTTATAAGATTGTCTTAGGTCAATAAAACGTAGTATTTTAAGCGTGATTGTATAAACAGTTAAAATGGAAGTATGTGTGTTGTTTCACTTTCTTCCCGTGCTGTGCTGAGACTCATAAAAGGGCTGTCAGCTCTGGTGCTGTTCCTTGTTTGCGTCTTATTTTTACCTCTCAGACAGTGAGAAAACAATGAAAACTGTTTTTTTCAGAGGTGGGGAGGGGGGAGACCTCACACCGAATGCTTAGGAAACGATTGAGTCTTATTTTTCTATAGCACACTGGATGACAGTGTGTGTGAATTCACAAAAAAATAGGTTACTTGGTCTAAAAGCCCAAGGGGAATTGTAGTGGAGACAGTGAGACACTCCATCATTTGGCTTCTATTAAGCAGAGTTATTAAAGAGCAGCGGGAACTTCAAGGCCTGGAGCCCGCAGTAGCATTCTGAGGAAAGTCTTAAGGTAGGCTGAAGAGGGAAAGCTGCCTTGGTTGAGATCGTCTTTAACATCTTTCAGGGCATTTTTTAGGTATGGGGTGGTAGGAGGCATCCCAGGAAGACGTGACAGCCGGGAGGCCTGTAGATTGTTTTTTGAAGCGCAGACTGTAGAAGGAAGACTTCTGACAATTCAGTTGACTTTGAAAGCCTTGGTGCCACTATGACGGCAAGTACAGCAGGCACATTAGAAGTAGTTTTAAGTCCGCTCTTCTAAGGATAGCTCCAAAATCTGGCCTCCTCCTAAACCTTGGATCGATGGTACACTGAATTATGTTTGAGTTGCAGTTTGTCTAGAAGGAGTAAGTTTTCCCTACAGCACAGGACACGTGTAATTCGTACCAGAGCAGTTTGGAGCGCGCAAAATGAAGAGTTTTATGAAGGGAACTGTTTTATCGCTTCCTTCAGAAATTTTTGAGGTTTCCTGAGAGATTTTTCATAGAGCTGGTCGAGGATTTTCAGTCTAAGTGTTTCCCCTTTTTGACCGCATGTTGGATTGCGTGCAAAACTGGGGAGGGGCAAGGAGGAGCTTTTAGCCTCGCAATTTCACCCCATTTAATGACTTTACATTTAAGTTGAGAGACATTGACTCTGGCGAACAGATCAATTATAAACAGCACTGTTTCTATTTTATAATACTGATAAAAAAGCCTTCTTGCAAGAACAGCTACTTGAAGAATTTCTCCCTTTCTGGAGAAATTACAAATAGTTGCCCAGTTTCACGCAGTAAAAACCTCCCTGACTGGGAGACTCGGATGGTAATGGTTCTAGCTAATAGCTTTATAAGGTGTTAGTTAAACCTTTTAAATTTTGGCACAGTATTGAAAGGTAATAAACAATTCAGCAGTTCTGATTTTTTTTTTTTTCATTTGTCACAAATTTTTAAACCTAGTGTTTCTGTTGTGTGCTTACGCGCAGTTAAAAGAAGTGTTACAATTATAAAAATAGAATGCTGTTCCTGTAGTAATGGTTTAAAACGTAGATGTGACTTCCTTATGGGACTGAAGGCGTGTATTGCTTTTAAAACGGATTTCATTTTAAATGTGGTTTAATGCAACTGCTGACAGCGAGTGGAAGTAGCTGTAAAATGGTCTTGTTAGTTATTTACCTTTGAAAAAAAAAGGCACTGTGACCTTCATCACTCATTTGCTGCTGATTTGAATTCATAAGGGCCTACTTATGCTTGCCATTAAAAGGCTAGTAAGACCAGGATGCTCTAATTGGCCCCTTGCTGTGGAGATCTTTTAAAGAAGAAAAGAGATTGTTTGCCTTCCCCTGCAGTCCTGGGAGC